TTACGCGCTGCGATGCAAACGACGGATTTGCGGAGCCATAATTTTGAGTCTAACCACCGCGTAAGAGAGGAAGAAAGGACAGATTGGATCTTAAGCACCATACGATATGAACGAAGCTTGCCTTCCTCCAATAAACAAAATCCGAAATGTCAAGTGCCTTCGGATGTTTCCATCTCCGATCTTCAACGAGTCTTATAAGCGCCAAACACCGACGCAGACGCCTTCTACCCGTCATGTTTACATACTGTATATATATTATCAATTATGGCAAAATAATTTGCCCTAATAATAATAAGAAAAATATTGACTCTTCCGAAGAAGATTTCCTTATTGTACCGCTAAAAAAAATGGCAGTAAATATTGAAAATATGGAGGTTGCCAGCAGCTTTCCTTTGAGACGACTTCTGATTCCCGACTTGTGCCATGAATTCATTTAAAAAACAAAGGGTCTCCGCAGTAGGCTGGAGGGGAAGATACTCTACAACCTGCTATTCTTATGGATTATCCAAGAAGTTCTGACGCTCGTTTTCTTCAACAATAAAAGTCTTTTTTTTTTTTTTTTAAATTAGAGGATATATATATTTATGAGGTTCGAGCCCGTACTATACCGCGGCTGATAATAAAAAATAAGAAATTAAAATTATATCTTTAATTTATATTAAAATAAAAAATTAAATCGATAAATTTAGTTGATCAGAAAATAAAATAATAATCAATAATTTTATTTAGCTAAAAAAAAAACCAGCATAAATAGCTGAAAATAAGGGGTGAAGTTAGTTAAGATGAAAAAAAATAAGGCCTCAAAAAAATTTAAAAAATTAATTGATTAAAGAAAAAAAAAATTAACATATAATTTCAATATATTATTTCAATTAAGATAATCTAATATATATTCGTAAATATAATTAGTAAATTATAAATAATTAATGAATATGTATTACTTAATTAATTAATATATGAATATAATTTATATATTGAGAATATTTAGGTTGTAATACATGAATTTTCTTTTATTTATTTTTTATTACGAGACTAATTTAAATTTCTCTCTCCTAGACTTGCTTTCTGTTATTTTAAGTAATACATTAAGTTAAGATTAACAATAAAATATTATTTTATTATAAATTTCAATAAATAATAATAGTTTTATGTCATAAATATCTAAAATAATATAATAAATTTTTAATTATCTGTTAAATACACACTAAGATAACATATATAATATTAAATATAACGTGCAACTACATGTCATGAAGATGCATCATCTTTATATAATATATATATATATTTAAATTTTCCTCTACAAATATATATATATATAGAGAGAGAGAGAGAGAATTACCAGATAAGCAAAATAAACAAAAGATCAAAATAGAGCAAAGCCATCCCAATCCCAACCAATGGAATAATAACTATAAAACCATGCAATTTTTATACATATATATTTTAGTTTTCCCTCTCTCTCTCTCTCTCTCTCTCTCTCTATATATATATATATATACAGAAACAAGCAAAAAGATTAAGATTAAAATAGCTTTTTCAATTACCAATGAGAGATAGCATGGCTTGTACGCTTCTAATCAGATACAGCATGAGTTGAATATGTCCAATAGAATTAAAGAAGGATGAATTTTTCAAAAGGAAAAAAAAAAAAAAAGAAAGAAAGAAGATATATATATTCTTAGGTATCCTAAGTTTGGAATTTTATCTTAAATTTATAAGATTTGTCTA